CCATTACATACCCAAGGTTACAACCACAGGACATTTTCCCTCCTTACTCACACTCCTATGTCCCTATCCTTTTCTTACCAGGAAATTTAGTGTTTAACCAGCAAAAAGACTAACCCCACAGAACAGAATTGTAAGCTTTCGAAATAAAAACATGAAGGTCAATTTTTGTTCTTAAAAATTAAATGACAAATTACTCCACTCCTACCTCTGAAATATAGTAGTTAAGACAGAGGTAGAAGCACATTAAATATTTTTAATATTTTGTCTCATGTTGGGATTTTTTTAGCATTTCCTACTGGTTGATAGACACACACATTTCAGACTAAGAAAGAAAACTAAAGAAAGCAAATTCAGGTTACACAGTTTCTACATATACTTTATTTTGACTTGTAAGTTCTTTTTTCACTTCATTGTGAAGGAGATTAGTTCTGGTGCCAGAAATTTTTTTGCATGGAATATTTTACTAACTCCTGACTGAGAAAATACAGAGTCTTTCCAACTCTTAATTAAAGCTTTATTACATCCTGAGGATATAAAAGGGAGCTCATGGCATCCCCAAGCATCTTTGACTCCAGCAGTAGTAAGATGCCAAATAGGTAGGCCTCATTTTTACAGGCGATGACTCAGGCTAAGCACACAGATGTTCATATATTTTACGATTCTTAGCCCCTGCTTTCTTTTATGTTTCTTCTATAATTTTCTCTATTTCCACCAACCGAAGGCGATGACTATCTGTCTCTTCAAGGCCACTTAATTTTTGAATGGAAGAATGTGTGTGCATGAGCAGGTGTGTATAGTGTGTGCATGTCTCTATGTCCTTTCTGCCCACAAGTAAAAGAAAGGGAAACCTTTTTTGTAAAGTCTTTGCCTCTTCCTCGTAAACCTAGGTGTTGCTTCTCCTTTGCTGTGCTTGAATTTTAACACTTATTGTGTAGCAATTGTGTACATGTATAACACTTAGTTAAATCATGGATTTCTTGAAGGTAGTTGTCCTGTCTTATTCCCCTTGAATCTTTAGTACCTCGCCTTAAACATAATAGATGCTTAATACATGAGTGGATGAGTGGGTCAGTGAGTGAGTGAGTGGTGAGTAAAAGAATTGGAGACCAGCTTGAGAAAATGGATCCTTTTATTAATGACCAGCATCTACACCTCAGGTTACTTATGAGTAGCTTTTGAAGGTTTTCTGTGAGCTTGAGCTTGATTATCTTGTGGATCATCAATAGGTCACGGGGGAGGGGGGGATGGTTCCCCCCCTCCCGCCCCCGCAGGATTCTCTGTTACACAGCTGTTCTATGGGGATTGTTTGTGAGCCTTAAAACTGGTTTCCTATATTCATTGTTGGTCATCTGGTTGTGCTAAGAAGTGTTATGATATCTGTTTGGAAGATCCTTAGTAAATAGATGGTTTCTGTCCTCTTTTTATTTCAATATTTTCAACAGTATGAGCATTTCCTATTTTCCAGACCTTGTTCTAGGGTTTGAAGATACAGTAGTCAACAAAACAAAGTTCTTATCTTTATATATAGAACTTTTATGGGAAAGACGGGCAGTAAACAAATATGTAATATATTGGGTACTGATGAATGCTATAAATGAAAGCAGGGCAAGGGGATAAAAAGTGATATGCCTAAAATGTAGCTGTATCATTCACACCTCATAAACAAACATATCAGCATAGGAGGATCTCAAATATGTAATGAAAAAAGTGCCAGGATAAAAAGCTGTTAAAGAAGCATGCTAAAATATTGGTATAGATTATTTCTGGTAATGAGACTATAGATGATATTTTTTTATTATGCTTTTATGTATTTTCCAAAGTGTTCTCTACCTCTGTTCTTGGGGAGAAGAGGGTGTTAGTGGGGTCATATTTGCGTTTAAAGCCTGATTCTGCTGGCCCACAGCTCCTGTGTGCATCAAGAGCAAGAAAGGCACCTCTGAGTTCTTTTGATTCTAAGTGAATGCTTTGCTGAGTAGAGGAATCTTGTTTGTAGGTCCTTGCTTTTCATCACTTTGAATATTTTGTGCCAATCCCTCCTGGCCTGCAAAGTTTCTCTTGAGAAATCAGCTGACAGTCTTATGAGAGCTCCCTTGTAGGTAATTAATTGCTTTTCTCTTGCTGCTTTTAAGATTCTGTCTTTGTCTTGAACCTTTGGCACTGAACTCCTTTCCTACTACTTCTGGGACTTCTCAGCAGGTGTCTCACTCGTGACCTAAACAAGTTCACACTTAGTGAGTCCTTTCCATTTCTGGGTAGGCCTCTGCTTCATATCAACCAAGATCAATACCTAAGGAAGTTCTTGCCAAAGTCTTAATTCTCCAATTTGGGCAAAAACACTTTGTCATATATCCAGGATACAGTTCCCAGTGTTTAGATCAATCCTGAACAGGCCATTTATTCTGATGAAGAAAGTGTAGAAAAACTCTAGTGGGCCGGCTGAGTGGCTCAGTTGGTTAAGAGCTCGCTCAAGAGTGTGAGCTCTGAGCAACAGCAGTTTGATGCCCGACCCGAGCTGAGCAGCCGCTGAGCTGCCAACAGGTGGCAGGATGGCTCAGCTTAAAAACAAAAAACAAACAAAAAAAACCTCTAGTAAACTACATGTAACATATCTTTCATACATGTCATCTTTTTTATTCATTTCTTTCACAGTGTACACATCACAAAATTTCAGTCAAACCTGACCTAACTCAGCACTGTTGTCACATGTGTTATGACTTCTTGTAAAAGCTGTGGCGCAATGGCAGAGAAAAAGCATGAAGCAGATTTTTCAGTCCCTCCAGTGAAATGAGCCCGATTCCTTTTCCCTCATCACCCCTTCTACCAATCAGGAGAGTTCTGCACCCTGATTGTACCTCAGTTGCCATGGCGTTGGGGATAATAGGAGAGGAGGAGAAAGAAGGGAAAGCCTGAAACAGCACCCAGGTCCAAGCTAGGCCCCAGGTTGTGGGACTGAGCAGATGAGTTATAAAACAGCATCTTTTACAGCTAAAGCTATAGGATTTCCTGTAACCCTGGACTTTCAATATGCTCTTCAGGCTCAAAGTTGTCAGTGTATGCCTAAAGGATTGATGAGTGTCTTGGTGACAAGGCAAACAAAAATAATACGTATCTTAATATATATCTCCTTTTCCCCTCTCCTGTTTATGTCCATGATATATGCATTTTTAGAGGTAAAGGCACCCTACACTTTTAAATGGGTGGGTGGGCACACTTATTCTAATACTGATTTAATGTGAAGATGAAGAGTTGAGGAAGGACAAGGAGTTTTCTGCGCCTGTCTGCTTGCTCTGTCTTACTCTTTTGTAGCCCTCTTTCCCCTCCTTCCTTTGCTTCTTCCTACTTCCCTATATCAAGCAGCAATTCCTGTAAACATTCTTTTACTCTCCTGGTAGCCCTTATGGCTGAACAGGCGAAGCCTATCAAAGTAGATCAGTTCATTCCAGCTACAAATGTTAGTCCAAGTGGTAAGTGCACCGTGTTGGAACAGATAATTTCTCATGCCAGTGGAGCAGTGGTTAAATAATTGCTTTTGCAATTACCGTGCCTTCTGCCTGGAATAGCTTTCTTTCTCCCGCTTTCATCTATTTGGCAAATTGCATTCCTTATTTAAAAGACCTAGCTGAAATGCAGTGGCTTCTTTGATACTTTACCTGATTCTCCCAGACAGTTAGTGACTCCTACTACAGGTTTTTCATACCTCTCAAATAGCTCATTTAAAATTGTTTTATTATGATTTGTTTACATGTCTCTCACCAGACTGAGCTTTCCAGGGGTAGGACTCTATCTTCTTATTTTCTTAGATTTGATATATGGTTAAGAAATGGTTTTTGACTGCTCATTTTTCATTGGATAAGCCTTAGTCCCTGTTTTTAAGGCCCTTACAATCTAGTAAGGGTGATATATCAAACATAGATAATCAGTACAAACTGGAATATACTCAGTGCCACTAAGAAGGAAGAAATCACTTCTTGCTGTGGGAATTAGATGCCTAGATATTCCAAGCTTTGTGGATGAGGTAGCGTTTAAAAATGGGTCTTCAGCAATCCCTCTCCTGGGTATCTACCCAAAAAATCTGTAAACATTTATCCGCAAAGATATATGTACTCTGAAAAAAAAAAAAGATACATGTACTCTGATGTTCACTGCAGCATTATTTACGGTGGCCCAGACATGGAAACAACCAAAGTGTCCTTTAATAGATGATTGAATAAAGAAGATGTGGTATATATACACAGTGGAAAACTACTCTGCCGTAAGAAAAGATGAGATAGTGCCATTTGCGACGACATGGATGGATCTTGAGATTATCATGCTAAGTGAAATAAGTTAGACTGAAAAAGTCGAGAACCATATGATTTCACTCATATGTGGGATATAAAACTGAAAGCAACAAAGGAACAAGACAAAGAAACAAAAACTCATAGACACAGACAACAGTATAGTGGTTACTAGTGGGTAGCGGGGGAGGAGGGGGTCAAATACATGGTGATGGAAGGAGAACTGACTCTGGGTGGTGAGCACACAATGTGATATATAGGTGATGTATCACAGAATTGTACACTTGGAACCTATGTAATTTTATTAACATAGTCACCCCAATAAATTTAATTTTAAAAAATGGGTCTCAAAGGATGAATGTGAAATGTGGAATTAATGGAGTCTAGCTTTATTTTTACTTCTTGATGTCTTTATTAGAAATAGTTTAACATGCATGGGAGCTATATTATTTGACATGTATTCCAAAGCCAAAACGCTTTACGTAGAGTTCGGTTACCAGTTTTTTATCTTAAAATGTTCATCAGTTGATTTATACAAAGGAATACATCTATATTATGGGGAAATCAGTGTGCTCACTGTCTTTGTGGACTTAAGTCAGAAATTCAGGAACTTATATTTGGGATTAGATATTTTTCATCTGTCTGAAATGTTACCAACCAAAAGAGAACATAAAATTTGATGTCTTTCTGTACTATTGCATTGATTTTCTTTATTCATTTTAGCCACAGACCCCTTTGCTTCTGTTTTTGGAAATGAATCATTTGAAGGTGGATTTGCTGACTTCAGCACATTGTCAAAGGTAATCCACAGTGATTAGTGGGAAGGTAAAATATACCATGTTTCTACCAAAAGAGCAGTCCTTCCTTTCAATTCTATAACCCTCTCATAGATATTGCAACTTGATTTCAACAAATCACGCAAATGTTGATTAAGATAGAAATGAAAGATAAGATGTAATCAAAGTAGGCATATTTCTATACATAGAGATACAGGTAATTATAATTTTCTACTGACAAGTTTGCTTAATAACTTCATTTTTAAGAGTCTTCTGTCTTTTTAAACATGTTTCTTCCAGTTGAATTACATTTGTCCCCTGTTGACTGTCTGGGTCAATAACTATAAAATCTAGGCATTCATTCCATCCTCTCTGCACTGGTCAATTGATTTATTTGTTCTGAGGCTGTTATGGTTAGTAGTAAGATAATTAATACACATAATCCAGCACTATATGTCCACTATCTATTTCTCAGTATAGTTCTAGAATTGATTCATGCCAAAAGAGTAAAATCAGAGTACATGTCGAATTGTCTATGTCATTGGCTCTCAACTGGGTATTAGTTCCCCTCGCCCCTCCCGCCCCCTGAAACATTTGGTAATGTTCTAGAGAAATTTTTGGTTTTCACGGTTGGGGAGGGGGACTTTTCATATTTAGTGGACAGAGACCAGGGATGCTGTTAAACATCCTACTAATCACTGTCCAGCCCCACCACAACATAGAATTATGGCCAGCCCAAAATGTCAGTAATGCTACTGTAGAGAAACACTGGCCTAAATAGACCTAAAATCGTAGTGTCTGATTCATTATAGAAAAGTGAATCTTTCATTACTCCATGTATTAGAAAGGCGGGGTCTTCAAACCCACATTAAGACTTATTATTCCATGGGATCAGTTTGCTCTCAAAAACAGACTTTCAAGTTGTTTTTAATGTTTTTCAAGATGCCATTTTCTTTGGCATTAGTATTAAATCTTTCCTATATTTAAGTGCATTGGGAAGTGTGGAGTCATTTTTTCTTTATCATTTGGATCAGATGTTCATTTGCAGAAAGATACGTAGTCCCTTTAAAATGGCCCCAGGTGGTTCTGTGTTGCCTGAAGCTTGACAAACCTTTGAACCAGAGTTGGCTCTTTTTAGTATGATCTGTTGCCCTTAATAAGTAGTGATGTTATAATCACTACTCATATAGAACAATTTTTAAAATTTTTCTACCTTTTGGCCCTTAATGCAAAGGTTAAAATGTCAGTGCTCTCAGAATTGAAATAAATAAAGCTGCATAGTACTGGAGACCATTCTTCCCAATGCTCTATGACCATATACAGTTTGGTTGGTATAATATATATAACCGTGTATAAATATTTGTTTTCAAACAAAGGTCAACAATGAAGATCCTTTTAGTTCAGCCTCATCAAGCTCTGTCAGCAATGTGGTCGTTACAAAAAATGTGCTTGAGGAAGCATCAGTCAAAAGTGAAGATGTGCCCCCGGCATTGCCACCAAAGATCGGAACTCCAACAAGACCCTGCCCAGCGCCACCTGGTATGAGAGTTGGTACCTTTCCTAAATCGACTGGATGCTTTTTCTCTTTCTTAAAGTATGTGTGCACCTTAATTATAGACTTATCTAAAGAGCCTTAAACAAAACAAATAAAAAAATGTGGCAGGAGCCTGCTGCTATCATCTGTTCAGACCCCAATACAGAATTACAGAAATGTACCTAAGAGGCCAGCATGTGTAACTGTCATGAGCGACTTTTCTGGCAAGAGCAAATTTCTTTTTAAATCATTTTAGAAAGGTAGTAAATGGAAAAAGGAAAGTATCAGTGAAGTTGCGTGCTTTCTGGAAGCTCATTGATTACCATTTGAACAAGTTTCCTGCATTTTGGTGTTTTCATTAATTTCTATAAGAGAAGATTAATTCAAAGTCCCATTCTTTTCTTGCCAAATATGAAGTCTTCCTTAAATGCTTCATTGTTAGAATATGTGGCCTTTGGGTATCCAGAATTCAGCAATATAGTGATTTAAAAGAAAATATTATTTTTCTTGAAGAAAAATATTTTACCTTAATAAGAAACTCCTTTATCTTATAAAAGTGATATTTTTAAAAAATTTGATCTAGGAACAAATTCTTAAATTTTTTTTTGTTTTAAATTTTTTTCAAATTTTAGCACATATCAAAGGAAAGGCTTTTAAAAATTTGTTTTGTTTTTAGTGAAGTGGCTAAAAAGGCTATCCCCTGAGCAGCTGTAGTGGTACCCTAGGCTATTATGTGAGAAGACACCTCTGGTTCAGTGTTCTTTTTTTTTTTTTTTTTTTAAGCTGAGCCATCCTGCCACCTGTTGGCAATTCAGCGGCTGCTCAGCTCAGGCCGGGAATCGAACCACTATGGCTCAGAGCAACTCTTGAGCGAGCTCTTAACCAGCTGACCCACTTGGCCAGCCTCCCAGTGTTCTTTTAATCATATATCATTCCTCAGTAAATTTTCAGCCACAGTAGTTATAAATTACTACTCTTGCCTTTTCATGATAACCTCCCTATGGTATTTCTTGGGCATATTATTTTTTCTTCTTTGACTTAAAGAAATTGCATATACAATTGTCAAAACTCAATTATCTGTTGAAAATCAGGTAAACAAGTGATTTCTATCTTTTAAGGAAAAGTAGCCTATGTCATATATTGCTAGGGGATAAGGTTGTCGGAATATATTAAACAAATAAGGGTCGATTTGCGGGCCAGCAGAGTGGCTCAGTTGGTTAAGAGCTCGCTCAAGAGTGCAAGCTCTGAGCAACAGCAGTTCGAGCCCTGGCCCGAGCTAAGCTGCCATCAGGTGGCAGAATGGCTCAGCTAAAAAAAAAAAGAGTCGATTTGCTTATTTTTTACACCTCTATGATGCCAATAGTAAAGTTATTTTTTAAGTCCTAAATAAAATAATATACTAGTGCTTTAACTATAAATCTAAGAATCTTCAGCAAAGTGAGTACATATCACTATAGAAAGTTCAAGGAAAGAAGGATGATTTTTTAGGGAGGGTGCTGGACTGGAAACTCAAAGGCTTGGGCTCTAATTCTGGATATGCTCTGACTGGCTCTGTGATCTTGAGTTTGTAATTTCTGAGCCTCAGCTGTCTGAGCTGTTAGGTGGTGGCAATAATTCTCATTTTGCCTGCCTTCACAGGATTGTTGAAAGGGTCCACTGAGATAGGAAATGTGCTCACCTTTTGTAAGCTGTTACAGTGATGGGAAGAATCTGTTGTTACAACTGCTTTTACCAGTTTAGCACATTTTAGGAAAAATATATATTTGAAGACACCTATTCTTATTTTTCTTCAAGAAGTATAATAATAATTATAAGACTTTAACATTTGAGAACTTGTTTGAAAACAGTAATGAATTAATGAGCAAAAGTGTGTGTGATGTTGTTTGGCCAAAGATTAGTTTATCAGCTACCACAGAGATTTAGGCCCTGGGCTTCAAAACATTCTCTTTATTCTTCAGTTTGATTTATTGTAGATGGCAAAAAGTAGGTGGGGTTTGCCAAGATAATTTTTAATTTCATGTTCTCAGGTGTTGTATATAGATCCAGAGGAAAATCAGAAGAATATTAGCATTTTTCAAAGGTCGTTTGTCCTTCCTGCCACTAGTGGATAACTGTATCAGGTTGAGGTTATAAATAGCAGAGACCATTTCTGTCTTTATTTTTTGTTGTTCTCCTGTTATATCCTTTCCTCTCTGTTTTCTTGGGAACATGCTTCTTCGGAGAAGAAAAGGTTTGCTCTCTGGGCAAAAATAGGATTGCTGGCCCATGCCCTTCTATTATGCTGGGTTTTTTTTTCACTTAGCTACTTAGAGCTGGAATGTATTTGAGAGCTTGTATGTGAAAAATTTGAAGACAGACTTGGTGTGGCCATTTAAGACCATATTAAGAATGTGTTTTGAGCCCTCACCCTTATTCCCCACGTGCAGTTTTTCAGTGTGCGCTATGTTTATGTTCTTGTGTGTGTCTGTGTTTGCCATATTTGCTGGTTGAGTTAATTGTAATGATTTTGATCCAGGGAAAAGACCCATCAACAAATTGGATTCTTCCGATCCCTTTAAACTGAATGATCCATTTCAGCCTTTCCCAGGCAATGATAGCCCCAAAGAAAAAGATCCTGGTATGTTGTGCGATCCATTCACTTCTACTGCTACTGCCACTACCAAAAAAGAGGCTGACCCAAGCAATTTTGCTAACTTCAGTGCTGTAAGTACTGTGAATGGGCTGTTTGGGGGAAAATCTTTCCATTTGCACTTTGAAGAGTTTTCAAAGATTACTTTCGAATCTGCCAAATTTACATCATTCCAACTTAATTTACCAACATACTAATAGTGATCTTTATTCTTCCCCCAACCAAAATCTGTTTGCTTCTGTTCTGATGGTTCTAAAATTATTCCATTGCACAAATGATTTTGTAGTCTTAGTCCATGTGATATATACCAGTTGTTTTGTAAACCCTTCTCTTTGTCTTGGTATACAACACAAATAAAACCTTACAGTTATTATTTTGCAAATTGTTGTGGATGATGGGCCATTAGAGAGTCATTTGCTGTCTGCCCACTGGATGCATAATGCCCATAATGAGCTTGTGTATTTGTAACTGTGTACGTGTGTTTATGTATAAAGCTTTGATAGTTTCTGGAAACCAGTCAGCAACTATTGGGTTGTCGGAAAAGTCATGACGCATTTTTGCAACGAAACATAGAAAAAATACGTCATGACTTTTCCGACAACACAATGTTATATGAGAGGATAGGACCAGGGATTCTTTGAATAGAAAGTAAAACTCTGGTTTTATATAGTAGCATTTTAAAAATGTAAATGTCAGTTTTATGAAATAAATACAGTTGTCAAGAGTTAATCTTTAATTGTTTGGAGGGCTCTAAGTCACTAGCCTTTCATATTTAGTCTTACCAGAGCTGACTAAAATAAGCAGACCAGTAAAAACAATGGAAGGATGCTGTGATAACGGCATAGTCAGGGCCCATAAGGTTACAGAAATGGGATGATCAGCTATGAAGCCATCACTCTGGAGGGACATAAAGCAGTGACATATATTCCAATAAAAACAAGACTTTTAAAAAAATTCTTAGAGGGACGACCGGTTACCTCAAATGGTTCGAGCGCAGGCTCTTAACACCAAGGTTGCCGGTTTGATTCCCACATGGGCCAGTGAGCTGCGCCCTCCACAACTAGATTGAAGACAACGACTTGTCTTGGAGCTGATGGGTCCTGGAAAAACACACTATTCCCCAATAAAGTCTTAAAAAAAAATTCTTAGAGGAGCTAACCAAGTTTCATTTTCCCAGATATTTTTTTCAGGCAAAATGAACTTCGTTATCACTGCCTATTCTATAACAAAGGAGTTTTACTCTACTTATCACCTTAAGCCCTTGAGATGATTTTGGAAATAGATCTAGTGGCCAGGTAACCCTGGCCACAATCTGCCTAATGTCTCTCCCTCAGTGTAGCATTAGGTCACTCAACTAGTCCTTTATCCCTACAGCCATTTCTAGTTACATACAACTGAGTCAATTATCTGAGCTACCCAGCTTTTGAATCTGTATTCTAAGTTCCAGTGGCTTCTTCTGAATCTGAAGGGGAATAGGAATCAATATCTTGATTATTGGGAAATGGAGTGTCAGAATTATACTGATTTAACTTTTGTTAGATGGCATTTGAGTTGTTTTAAGCAGAGAATCCAAAATTGCTCTTCTTAGGAGATTGTTATTCTTTTAATATAAAGTAATCGGGCAGTTTGTGGCATTTAATATCTTAAATATGATTTCAGCAAGTCAAAACCTGTTTGGAATGAATCTTGAACAATAAGGCATTTTCCTTATTTCATACTCTCAGTATAATACAGTATAAAGCAGCTCACATAAAAATGTCTTTTTCCATTATGAAAGATTTGTTAAGGATTAAATGTTTAAAAGGCCCTCTAATTCCCTAGGGAAAAAGCTATCATTTTTTTAAAAGCCTGACAATTTCTTTCATTTCATCCTATTATGATATTCATCCTATTATGACAGGACTTGAAACCAAGTGAATTTTTTTTTACTTAGTGTATCTACCAAGATTGCTGTTTTGAATGGATAAAAATATTTCCCTGACCTAATTACCATTGTTAAGGTTTTATTTAGACTGGGTCAAAAAGTTCTCAGTGCCGCCAAAATCTTTATAATTCATTTAAAAAAATGATTTGGTTCACACCTTGTTTAGTATACATAGTACTCTTATTTTATGTATAGCAAAATCAGCATATTTTTTGTTTTATAGTTTTTCAGTGTCTGAAGGGTTAGGATAAGGTAGGGAATCACCAGTGGGATTAAGTTGAAAATGATTTGTTGTGTGAGGATGAAGTTGAAGTAGATGTTTTGCATTCGATAAATGTTTATAAATCTACTAGTTCACCTTAAGCATTTATAGTTTTTTTAAACGATGTTTTAATGTTTAGTTTTATAGACTTTCTATCTGTAAACCACATTAATTTTTAAAAATTACATTTAATAACTGGTAAAACTAAACGTGTTTTCAAAAAAAAAATTAATGAGTAACAAATATGGCTATTCCCAGAGTCCTTCAGATGAAACAAGTAGTGTCCTTTGTCAAAACGATTTTTCCCTTTATTTTTATTTGTTTTCCTCATTAATCAGTTCATTCACTCATTCATTTGTCTTTTAAATGGCAGTATCCCTCTGAAGAAGACATGATTGAATGGGCCAAGAGGGAAAGTGAGAGGGAGGAGGAGCAGAGGCTTGCCCGCCTCAGTCAGCAGGAGCAAGAAGACTTAGAACTGGCTATTGCACTCAGCAAATCGGAGATTTCAGAAGCATGAAGAATTCTTCTGTCCTTTGTCAACCCTACAGTACTCTTCTGCCTGAATATCGAAGCTATTACAGTGTGTAGCAAAACTACCTATGAGCATGGGAATACAAAAGGTTTGAGATTCCTGTAAATGTGACAAAGGTTTTGGGTTTTTTTAACTCCATTGAAGATTTGTCCTCCACCCCACCCCACCCCACCCCTCTCTGCCCCGTGAAAGCAGCGAGACAGCTTCACCTAGGCCCCTGGTGTGCATTTACTGTGAGCTTTTGCCTTGCCTGTACTACGTTTACTTGTAAAGCTAGAGCACCCAAGCTTCTGCCTTCTGGAGTATAGAGAAGTAGCTTCACCCCTGTGCTGCCCTTGTTCTACAGTTACTCTGATAATAGCCCGTGGGGTTCTTAAAGTTTGCCGTATTCTCCCCTGATTTGAAAGGATGAGGGAGGAAAACGGAAAGAACATCCTATTTCTTTTGTGATAGTGCAGATCGGCTAGTTTTAGAGTGCATGTTTGTATTTCCATATAATCAAAATACTGTTTAATTTGTTTTCTATAGACAAGGAAAAATATTTTGCATAAATGGACTCCACTATGGAAAAAGGGATGCTTTAGACTGAACCATTACAGCTTCAGACTCAATCTTTTCCTAAATAAAAACGCTAAAGCCCCATGTGTGAAATATATTTTTAAAAAATTTTTTTCTGGATTTAAAGAATTTTCGATCAACAGATTCCTCTTCATAATTTTAAGTGCTAGACAGTGGAGAAAATTTATTTATCACCTACAATATACCCACACAGTATAAGATAAAGTAAGCAGAAATCTTAACATGGCCGCCTTCTGCAGTTGCTATGTTGCTATCCTCTTCAGTTCATGGTAGGTTTATTTTTGTACTTTTGCAGAGGAAACTTTAGAAAGTTAGAACTGGAAGGTACTTTAATTTTTGTATATATATTTTTGTTTTCTTTAATGAAGGCTCAATTACTTGAAATGTAAAAACTTTCACTGAATTCAAATGAAAAAAAATGACATGTATTAAACCATATTATTGTTCTTTGTCCATCTTTGTGGCTTAAAATAGTTTTTCTCTTCATGTTTTTTTGCCTATGAAGTTGGCAGGCTAGCAAAAAAAAAAATCTTTTTTTTAATTCGGATGGAAGAGACCTGCCAAATTATCAAAGCTCTTCGTGTATGAAAAGCCTGTCTCCTGTAAAACTGACCTAGCAGACAGCTGAATTTGAAATAGACTGTGAAGTAGGCTGTAAATTGTAATCCTACATTTTTTTTAATATCAAGTTACTGACTTAGGTAATGTACTGAATACCTATTTACCAAGATAAAGAGAAATACACCTAAAAATTAATTAAAAGTCTCTGTGGTCACCAAGTCAAAGTGGTATTGATCTGTGCGAATCAGAGTAACTTACTGCCTAGCCTATGAATAAACTCCAGAATACCCAATTCATTTCATCTTGAAATGGTGCTTTTTTTTTTCTCTCCACACACAATTGGACTGCTGCAAATTAAAATACTTTAAACCACTTTCTTGCACTGCTAACTTTTTTCTACTTTTATAAATTAAAACCATTCAGCATAAAAGTCATACATATGAAGCAAGGGCTGAATCATAATCATAAGGCTTTAAATTTGATAAACTTATCCGGTGACTAAGGATGTACTGCTAAAGATGATTGAGAAGGTAGTGTTGGGAGTTGTGATAGATAATGGTTTTGGGTTTTTTTTTCTTCCCCTTACACTTCAGGAAAAAGGTAAGTTGACTTGAACAACCTTCTTTTGCACTGGGAAAATGAACAGATGTTTGAAATGCTTTTAAAATATTTTTTTTAATTAAAAAACACTCTGGAAAGTATTAAATATCTGTAACTTATAAACACCAACTTTTGATGTAATAAGTGTACCCTAATCTTATGTATGTTTAACTGGATTACATAGATTCTTATCTTTTGTTAAAATATGTATAATCAGTGGACCAATATAATATTAAAGTATGTATATATTATATAAATATAAATATATATCTCTATCTCCATGCTCACTTGTGTAAGATGAATGTCTTAGAGTGGTTTGTGATTATATTTTACGTTTTTGACACTGGCTCCAGAGCCTATGCTTTAAAAGAACATAAGTATTCCTGAGAACCAAGTGACACTACTTACAAACTTTTAACAACCTTCTACATACTTGTTCTGGCTTCTCTTTATAGAATTTTCTCTTATGTTTTGAACGTCTAAATTGTAGCTTGTAACTATGAGAACAATAAACTTTAAGTAATAATAAAACATACTATCCATACATCCTATTTGAAATGGAGTTTTGCACGGTTCTGTGTTATGTCCATGCTGCGTCCAAGCAGGGGTAAGTATACAGTCAGCCCAGATTAATATGTGTAAAGTGCTTGAGACAATACATGGTGTAGAATACTTAATAAATGTTAACTATTATGTTTAGTTGTCAAGTCCTGTTGTTGTGAAGGAAAGATAGGAAATGTGTATGCATAGCGGCAGTGCCTGAAACCTAGGTGGCTTTGTATATATTTATTGAATGAGGATTTATGACACAGATTCTAGGAGGGCACTGTGGTGTAAAAAAATTCATAACAATTCTGGGATTGAATTTCTGGTCTGCCATTTTTAAGAAAGATGACTGAGAAAGGTATTTAGCCTCCTGAGCCTCGTTTTTCTCATCTAATGAACATCATAATACCTAACTCACAGGATTGTTCTGAAGGATTTGACTTCGACAGCTTTTTAATAATACAAGGGACCCACACAATTTGAACCCATGTATTCAAGGGTCAACTGTACTTTCAATCCTCAGTTGGGGATCGGCGTATATAGAGGGCCAATTTAAGCTATATGTGGATTATCGGTGTCCCCTCCCCCCACATCATTCAAGAGTCAGCTGTATTTATTTTAATTTTTAAAACTCAGCCATGTTATTGTTAATAGTGCAAATAGCTATCAGTTATTGAATGCACGTTATGTGTGAAGTACTAGACTAAGCTCTAAATGTGTGTTTTCTTGTTTAATGTTCACAGGAGCCCTAAATAGTACTGTTATTAGTCTCTATTTTAGAAATGGGGAAATAAGCTCAACAAAAGTTAAACTAACGTGCTTCATATCACAAAGCTAATAAGTAGAGGAGCCAGGAATTGGATTCTGATCTCTCTGATTCAAAAACATGATACTCTCTCCAGTTTAACATGCTTTGTCTTATTTTGTGTAAAAAAAAAAATTGCTTATAAGAAATGCGAGGAACAGGACATGTTAAATAACAACAACACGCAACGGATGTTAAGCGCCAGGCAGGAGCCTTTACTGCTTTACATGCATTAGTTCATTTAACCCTCACAACAACAGTAACCCTGTAGTGTAAAGATACTATTACTGTCTCCATTTTGCAGAATAGGTGCCCTAAGGAGGCCATGATTGTACAGCTAGTAAGTGGCAGAGCTGGAATATGAACCCAGGGGACTGGATCCAGAGTTTTAACCTCCACTCTCTATTCCTATTAAAGGTGAGAAGCCAAAGGAGAAATACCATAAATAGAGTAATCCATGTAATCTCTACTCTTGAGGATTAATGAAATAACCTACTACATAGCACACAGCATCTTATAAAACATTTTCCCATTCATTCTATTTAATTCTTACCAGGATTTAGAATAGTTTCTGACACATGGAAGCATTCAACCATTGTTAGTTATTAATATCACCATAAGTGATAAATAAGTTTATAGGGAAGATAGCCAACCTTGCTTTTATTAAAGAAGTAAAAATTTTAAAATCATGAAGTTAGCAATAATGAAAAATAATTTATATCAGTGCTGACAAGTCTCTGGAAATAATGCATAAAAAGTTAGGCAAAGCATAGGTTTTGAGGTGTCCTCACAGATGAAGGGATGATAATCCTGGCAGAGGCTGTGGTTGTGTATAGAGGCAAAGGGGCAGGACAGGGCATCGTGTGCTAGTAAGCAGTGAGGACTGAAGGAGTTCAGTGTGACTAGAGTTCAAGTTTGTGGGTAAAAGAGGCAAGTATTCGTGTTTGTAAGAGAGGTCTCATTGGTAGTAATTTGGAGGATTGCTTTAGGAGGAAACCAGGTACGGCAGGGAGAGCAGATGAAGGCTGTCAGAATCACTCAGGTGAGATGATAAGGACCTAAAATGTGGCCGTGGCTGAGGCCTGAGAGAAGGGATGATTTAGAATTGACAGGCCTTAGAATCTGATTAGATGTAGGTGGTGAGGGGAAAGGAGTGGTTTGCAAACTTTAGCAAGAATCAGGATCACCTGGAAAGCTTGTTAAAATACAGACTGTGGTCCCCATCCCCCACGTTTCTGACTTCAGTAGGTATAGGGGTGAACCGAAGAATTTGAATTTCCATCAAGTTCCAGATGACGCTCAAGTTGCTCGCCCAGGGATCTCACCTTGAGAACCACTGGAGTAGAGGCCACCTGCCAAGTCTCTGTTCTCCAGCAAGTTTCTGCTCATTTAGTTGGCAATGCTGTTGCACCTTGTCATTGTACACTTGACCTGTGGATACTGCTGCATAGTGTAAAGCACATCTAATCTTTCTTGTGGGTAGAGTTTTTAAAAATAATAATTGCAAGCTAACGGCATTTACTATGTGCCAGTACTGTTTGAAGCACTTTTATGTACTGATCCATTTTAATCTCTACAATAGTCTTTTAAGTTAAGTACTGTTATTATCAGTTTACAGATGAGAAAGCTGAGGTACAAAGAGGTTAAATAACTTGCCCAAGATCACAGAACTAAAAAGTGCCAGTGCTAGGCTTCAGATCTAGGCAGCCTGGCTCCAGAATCCATGCTCAATCACTCTGCTGAACAAAAATGACATTAAAAAAAATGCAGACAGAGTAGTATAGTAGAATGAACTATGTACCAATACTCAGCTTCAATAATTACCAATCCATCCATCTTCCTACCCACTTCCCCCTCATTTTGAAGCAAATCTTAACACTCCATTTGTAAATTTTTTAGTATGTTATTGAGTAGCGGTTTTAAAATCATGAAATATTGGGTTGTCGGAAAAGTCAATGACGTATTTTTTCTGTTTTTCATTGCAAAAATGCTTCATGACAACCCAATAGAATTTTCGTGGAATATGTAACCGAGTCACAAGATAAGATAAACTATTTGAAAACTGCTTTTTAAAACATATTTCAAGTAAGAAATGTAGGGCCTAATGTTATATATCTAGTTTAATAATATAAAAGTTATCTCATGGAGGGGAAAGGTGCGTGTTTGCAGAAAGATCCCCCCCCCCATCTTTTACACCTCAATAAGTGTATGGAAAGTGTTCAGCTGCACAAGACTTAAGGGCTTAGTTTCAGCCTCCTCTTTTCCCTCTGGAGTCAGAACTTGAGAGGACTGTTAGGGTCGTGCATCACTTAATGACAGAGATAACGTTCTAAGAAAACTTGTCATTAGGCGATTTTGTCATTGTACGAATATCATAGAGTACGCTTATACAAACCTAGATGGTACAGCCTACTACACACCTAGACTATATGGTATTGCTCCTAGGTTACAAGCCTATACAGTATATTACTCTACTTAATACTGTAGGCAGTTGTAACACAATGGTAAGTGTATCTAAACAGGAAAAGGAAAAGGTATAGTAAAAATACAGTACAAAAGATAAAAAATAGAACTCCTGTATAAGGCATTTATAATGAATGGAGCTTGCAAGACTGGAAGTTGCTCTGGGAGAGTTAGTGAGTGAGTGGCAAGTGAGTGTGAAGGCCGAGGGCATTACCGTCCACTGCTGGAGACTTTATAAACACTGTCCCACAAGCCCTCCCCCTGCTTCCTTCTGACAGGGTCAGAAATAGAACATTGAAGAGGTCCATGCAGTTCCATGAACAGGGATGTGGGTTGGAGTGATTGGAAATATCGAGGAGAAACTGGCTGGGTACGGCCTCGATCACCATAACAGTGACTGTCAGGAGGGAGTGGAAGGGGCCTGAGGATCAGCAGGAATAAGAAACCAAGACGGAGAGATGAAGGAACTTAGGGGGTTGTCATGGCAATGTGGTTTTGGCTATTGCATGTTGGAGCAGTGGTCAGATTAAGAACCTTGGTGGTTTACATTCAAAAAGGGTGTTTAACGTGAAGAGCGTGTAGAACTGAGGACTCCGTATTTTGACTTTGGAAATTTGTTTTTGGTTCCATTGACTCTAGCTGACAAGGGGCTCTCTCTGGCATTGAATTGATGGAAGAAATAAAACATCAGGGCTTTACATCCTTACAACCTGAAAATATTTCCAGTTTAGGGACAGGCTGGCTCCACACTACCACAGAAAGCTTTTACTAAAGTAACAGTGGCACTTTATATTTGTTAAGGTGGCTCCTATGGACCTGTGTCCTTGTGCAGGATTTGAGGCCCTCAACAAAGAATGTACAGCCATGCACTCTGAAGACCACAAGCTGTAGTGCCCTCTGAGTGTGCAGACTGGGGGGTCAGGCTCCCCTGTGCTGAGACAGGTCAGTGGCTGACTGACTGGGATGTCATCTGTGCGGTCAAAACAGGTGCTGTGAGTGGGACGGAATCATGCCAAGCCCTACAGATACTGCTCCTGTCAGAGAAAAAAAAATACTCCTTTTGAACCACATATCCTTCCATTTTTAACAGGAAATTCAGCTCCTTTATAAACTTAGGAGACCACTTTTGTACACGCAGTCCATCATTGACCAAGATAATGGTTTTGTGGCACATGACTGTTTTGTGGAAAGGAAGAGACAAGGAAAAGTAGCTGGCACTAAGGTTCTTAATGTATATTACCCTATTGGATCCTGACAACACTCATAACAGAAAACATGACGTGTAAGGAGATGGAAGTGACTTGGCCAAGACCTCCCAACCTAGGTTCCAGCCCAGGTGCCTCCGCTCTGAGACCTGCTGTTCCAACCACACCAGGCTGCCTTTTGCACACCTGGCCTTTAAGGCAGCCCTTTGAGACTAAGCAGCAACAAAGATCAAACGCAGCAACCCTGGGCCCTAAGCAAGAACTGATGTTCTCAAAGAAAACCCTGATTCATTGCAGCTTCCTGAGAAGGATCCTGGCCTTGTAGAAAGAACCCAGACCTTGGAGTCTTATAAACACGGGTCTTAAATTCTGGCCATACCATTTACTAGCTGTGTGACTTTGGGTAAATCAACCTCTCTGATCCTCCATGGAGATAACAGTTACTTCACAGGGTTGTGAGGATTAAAGATGATGGATATAAAATTTTCATTCCTGTTACATGGCATATATTCACTAAGCTGTCATGTCTGTGTTTAAGA